GAACTACAAAAATTAATTCCAATTTTATTTCTTTTTTCTGAAAAACCCTGATATAAGAACTAGGGTTAATTTAATAATTACTTAAACCACAAGTAAGCACCGGCCTCCTCCTCTTCCTCTCTGAACCTCCTCCGTCTTTTCTTCTTGTCAGATTGATTGATATTTGATAAAGCTCGCCAGGGGAAAAGAAATGGCGAGAGCTTTAGTACAGTTCACCAGTTTACCTTGTTGTCGAATTGCACAAAGTCAAAAAAGAACAATGGGGGTAGAACCAGAAGAACATCAACCATCACAATGGCAGGCTTTTCGCCTTGGGCATCTCCGAGGTTGAATTTGACCAGTTTCTCTCGACGGCGTTCCGACCAGGCCCCGGGAAGTCTTGACTCAACAGTTCTACATAATGTGATTCAAAGTTTACCATGAAAGATTTACCATTGACTAAGTCTTGCTGCAAAAATTAGTTTTTATCTTTCTGTTGCTTGTTTTTCTGTTTCAGTTGCTGATTTTAGGCATGGGATAATGCCAAGATTTTTTCCTTCTACTCAGTTGAGTTGTTATTCTGTAAAGCCTATAAAAAGACATGTCATTTCATGAATAAAGTGCTACAAGAAAGACTATCATTTTGTCTACATCTTGGTTATTATATTCCTAAGTTCCATTTTTCTTTTTGGTCATCTAATTCCATTTCAACATTGTGGTATTCAGATCCAGGTTCGATTGGAACTGGGCGTATCACTTATGGCGGCTAACGGCAATCTCATTAATGTGGCTCAACCGTCGATTCCCATTTTTACTGGTGAAAGCTATGAGTTTTGGAGCATAAAGATGAAAACTTTGTTTAAGTCCCAGGATCTTTGGGACTTGGTGGAGAATGGCTACTCAGAGCCTGATGATGAAGCAAGGTTGAGAGAGAACAAGAAGAAGGACGCAAAGGCGTTATTCTTCATCCAGCAAGCAGTTCATGAGTCGATCTTCTCCAAAATTGCTGCTGCAAATACGGCCAAAGAAGCATGGACAACTTTGCAGACGACTTTCTAAGGCTCTTCGCAGGTAATTACGGTGAAACTTCAATCTTTCGCCGTGATTTTGAAACTTTGCAAATGAAGAATGGAGAATCAGTTCAGGATTTTCTGTCAAGAGTTGGAACAATTGTCAATCAAATGAGAGCCTATGGTGAAGATGTTGCTGATGCAACCGTTGTTGCAAAGCTACTACGGATCTTGACTACCAAGTTTGATCACGTTGTAGCAGCCATTGAGGAGTCAAAGGACTTGGCAGTGTACTCATTTGATGAGCTTATGGGATCATTGTCGTCTCATGAGGTGAGATTAAACCGACAAGAAGAGAAAGTTGAAGAAAAGGCTTTTCAAGTGAAGGGGGAGACATCGGCTGGAAGAGGTCGTGGTAGCGGAGGTCGTAGTGGCGGAGGAGCTGGTAGAGGCTATGGTCGAGGAGGACGTGGTCATGAGCAAAATGATGATTCACAAGCAAGTGAAATGCCAAAAGGCCGTTGGGCTAATGTTCAATGTTACTACTGCAAGGAATTTGGGCATATAAAGGCATATTGTAGAAAGTTGCAGCGATCTAACTATGTCTTGGAGGAAGAAGAGGAGGAAACCAACCTTTTCATGGCATTTCAAGAAGATGCAAGTCTTGACAATGATGTTTGGTACTTGGACAGTGGATGCTCTAATCACATGACTAGAGTACGGTCTTTATTCAGAGATCTTGATGAGAATTTTAAACAGAAGGTGACACTTGGAGATGGTAAACAATTGCAAGTGGAGGGAAAAGGTGTTGTAGCCTTGAGAGGTGGAAACGGTAATGTTAAACTTCTCTATAATGTCTACTTTATTCCAAGTTTGTCACATAATTTTTTGAGTATTGGGCAACTAATGGCTAGTGGATATTCACTCTTATTTGATGAAGACTTTTGTGTGGTTAGAGATAAAAAATCAAATCAGGTTGTTCTTAATGTTAAAATGATTGGAAATAGGCTTTTTCCATTTAAAGTTTCTGATGTGGAGAATCATGCTCTTGTTGTGAAAGAAAATGTTGAGTCAAGATTGTGGCATCTTCGGTATGGACATTTGTATGTAAATGGTCTGAAATTGTTGAGCCAGAAAGAGATGGTTTATGGATTGCCTAAAATTGAGTCTTTGGGCATGTGTGAAGATTGCATATATGGAAAGCAATGTAAGAGACCATTTCCTACCGGTAACTCTAAAAGAGCATCTTGCATTCTTCAAATTGTGCATGCTGATTTGTGTGGTCCTATGCAGACTAAATCATTTGGTGGGAGTAGATATTTCTTGTTGTTTACAGATGATTACAGTCGTATGAGTTGGGTCTATTTTCTGCAATTCAAGTCTGAGGCATTTGAAGCCTTCAAGAAGTTCAAAGCCTTTGTTGAAAAACAAAGTGGGAGTTTCTTAAAAACACTTCGCACTGATAGAGGGGGGGAATTTTTGTCTGCCGAATTCAATCAATTCTGTGAAGCACATGGCTTGCATAGGGAGCTAACGGCTCCATACACACCGGAGCAAAATGGCGTGGCAAAGCGCAAAAACCGAACTGTGGTAGAGATGACAAGAAGTTTGTTAAAGTGCAAGAATTTGCCTAATGATTTTTGGACAGAAGGTGTTGCAACCGCTGTGTACTTGCTGAATTTATCACCGACAAAGGCTGTTCAAAACCAAACACCATTTGAGGCATGGAGTGGGAAGAAGCCATGTGTAAGTCATTTAAAGGTTTTTGGTTGTATTTCTTTTGCTTTGATTGATGCACATAAGCGTAGTAAGCTTGATAATAAATCAGCAAGATATATTTTTGTTGGTTATTGTTCTCAATCTAAGGCATATAGGCTTTATGATCCTATAAGTAGCAAGATTGTTGTTAGTAGAAATGTTGTTTTTAATGAAGAAGCAAGCTGGAATTGGCAGGCGAATTCAGAAAGTGTTGAAGTTCCAACTCAAAATGCAGCTCCACCAGTTGAGTTAGAACAAGCATCAAGTTCTAACACCTCAAGCCCATCATTGTCACCAAACTCATCTTCTTCAAGTTTGAGTTCCTCTGAAGCTGAAAATACTCCACAACGGTTCAGATCATTGACTGAAGTTTATGAAGCTACCCAAGCTTTATTTGTTGTGAATCCTGTTAGTTTTGAAGAAGCAGCAACAAAAGAAGAATGGCGCAAAACAATCAATGAAGAACTTACAACTATAAAGAAAAACGACACATGGGAGTTAGTGGATCTTCCTAGCAACAAGAAAGCCATTGGAGTCAAGTGGGTCTTTTGGACAAAGTTTCTAGCTGATGGAAACATACAAAAGTATAAAGCAAGGCTCGTGGTGAAGGGATACTCACAGCAACAAGGTATTGATTATGAAGAGACATTTTCTCCAGTTGCATGTTTTGATACTGTGAAGACAATTTTAGCATTGGCTGCACAAATGCATTGGACTGTTTTTTAGTTTGATGTTAAGTCTGCGTTTCTGAATGGAGACCTACAAGAAGAAGTTTATGTCACTCAACCTGAAGGGTTCATTGTTGAAAGGTGAAGAAGGAAAGGTGTACAAGCTGAAGAAGGCACTCTACGGGTTGAAGCAAGCTCCACGTGCATGGTATAGCAAGATAGACTCTTACTTCATTGCTAATGGCTTTCAAAGGAGTAGGTATGAACCAAATCTTTATGTGAAGAAAGCTGGTAAAACTGATATTCTCCTTGTTTGTCTTTATGTGGATGATATGATTTATGTGGGATCTTCTACTTCTCTCATTACTGAATTCAAAGATTGCATGGAGCAGAAGTTTGAAATGTCTTATTTGGGGGAGTTACACTACTTTCTTGGGCTTGAAGTGGTGCAAGTTGAAGATGGAATATTTGTACCTCAACGGAAATATGCTACTGATTTACTTAAGAGGTTTAATATGTTCAATTGCAAGATTTCATCCGCACCAATGAATTTGAATGAGAAGTTGCAAGTTAAAGATGGTACGGAATTAGTTGATGAGAAGAACTTCAGAAGTCTTATTGGAGGACTAATCTATTTGACTCATACACGGCCAGACATTAGCTACTCAGTTGGAGTTGTTTCTAGGTTTATGCATCGTCCGACAAAGCATCACTTTGGAGCTGCAAAGAGGGTGCTGCGTTATATTGCTGGAACTACAAGTTTTGGGCTGTGGTATGGTCATGTTTCAGAGTTCAAATTGGCTGGTTATTCGGATAGTGATTGGGCTGGATGTTTAGAGGATAGAAGAAGCACCTCAGGTTATGTTTTTAATCTTGGATCAGCTGCAATTTGCTGGAGTTCTAAAAAGGAAGCCACCGTTGCTTTATCTACTTTAGAAGCTGAATTTGCAGCTGCTTGTCAAGCTGTTTGGTTAAGGAGGATTCTTGCTGATCTTGATCAGGAACAACTTGAAGCAACTGAGATTCATTGTGACAATATGGCTGCAATTTTTATGTCCAGAAATCCCACTCATCATGGAAGGACTAAACATATTGATATAAGAGTTCATTTCATTCGAGACCTTGTTGCTGAAAATTCCATCACTTTGGAGTACTGCAATACTGATGAGCAAGTTGCCGACATTCTTACAAAGTCCCTTCCTCAAGACAAGCATGTTTACCTGAGATTGAAGCTTGGTGTTTATGACTTTGAATCAACGGGGAGTGTTAGAATGTGATTCAAAGTTTACCATGGAAGATTTACCATTGACTAAGTCTTGCTGCAAAAATTAGTTTTTATCTTTCTGTTGCTTGTTTTTCTCTTTCAGTTGCTGATTTTAGGAATGGGATAATGCCAAGATTTTTTCCTTCTACTCAGTTGAGTTGTTCTTCTGTAAAGCCTATAAAAAGGCATGTCATTTCATGAATAAAGTGCTGCAAGAAAGACTATCATTCTGTCTACGTCTTAGTTTTTATATTCCTAAGTTCCATTTTTCTTTTTGGCCAGGAATACCAGTACTTTTGGTTTGAGACAAAATCGCCGCTTATGGTACCAAAAGCATTCATGTTTGAAGATTTTACAGAGAAAGCTATAAAAGTTATCATGCTAGCACAAGAGGAAGCAAGAAGAATGTGCCATGATTTCGTTGGCCTAGAGCACATGTTATTGGGCCAAATTGGTGAGAATACCAGTATTGCAGCTAAGGTTCTGAATCCGTCGGGATTGAATTGGAAGATGCACGTGTTGAAGTAGAGGAAATACTTGGGAGAGGAAAAAATGGATCTGTGAGCGGGGAGATCCCTTTTTAGCCCGCGAGCAAATCGAGCTTTGGAACTTAGCTTTCAGTGGGCTGCCCAACTCGGAAATCTTTATGTTGGAGCAGACCACATCTTGCTCGGGTTGATTCGCGAGGGTGAAGAAGATACCGTAGGAGGAGTGGGTGTTATTGAGAAATCAGGTGGTAATCCAGGTGAAATTCAGGCCCGGGTTATTGGAATTGTTTCTAATATAGAAGAATCAGACTCAGTTGCGAAGATGACGAAGGATAATAGTGTTAATGTACTACTTGAGGAGTATGGTACAAATTTGACAGAGCTTGCAAAACAGGGAAAATTGGATCCTGCCATTGGAAGACAGGAACTGATCGACTGTGTAATTCGAACATTGTGTACACGGGCAGAGAAGAGCCCTGTCCTCATTGGAGAGGATGGAGTTGAGGAAACAGCAATTGTTGAGGGACTTGCTCAAAGGAAAGGATTGCAAATGGTGATGTTCCTGAGTCAATTGAGGGGCAGAAGGTAATAAAACTCAGTTATAAATATGTAAAGCTTTGGTAATTCAATTGCGTTGTTCTTGAATACTTAAACATTTGGGATTTTTGAGTTCTTAGTTGTTGCTCTGCTGGTCATAAAACTAGACATGCGACTCCTGATAGCTGAAGAAGAAAATCGGGGAGAAAAGCTGAAGAAATTGATGGAGATGATAAAACGAAGTGGAGATTACATACTTTTCATTGATGAGGTTCTCACATTTTTTGGAGATGCTGGAGAGATGGAAGGAGCAGTTGATGCTGCAACCATATTAAAACCCGTGCTATGTCGCGGTGAGCTACAAGTAAGCAACTTCATTTCAAGTTAAAATGCAGGCAGAGAAGAAAAAAAAGATGGCATTTAACATGTTGTGGTGTATGATTATTTGGCAAGTGAATAATTTTCTTAAAGAAGTCATTCGGGGCTTAAAGTTTCTGACTTGATCCTTTCCTTTCTTTTTCCTCTTGAAAATCTTGCTTTTTATTCATTTGATATTCTATTTCAGTTTGGTTGAGGATTATGCTTGTAGTAAGTACAGCTCGTGTGGCAGAAGTTCTAATCATATTTACTTTTGATGGATTTCAGTGTATTGGGGCTACTACTTTGGATGAATACAAATTGTACATTGAGAAAGATCCAGCTCTAGAGAGACAATTTCGGCCAGTTAAGGTGCTTAAATATTCAATAGATGAAACTGTTGAAATTTTGAAGGGGTTTCGAAAGCAATATGAGATATGGTGAATGGAACGGTTCATTGTGCCGTGGTTGATGAACTGATGGACGAGAGAACAAGGGTTTTATATATCCTATCCAAGTGGAGTGCTTTTATATATTTTGAAAAAAATAGCATGCGTTTACCAAAAATTAAAAATAGCATGGTGAAAGGGGTATGATTGGATTTTTATCCAATTATTTGGGGTTTTATTTTCTCCACATCTCGCTTTTTCTTTTTCTTTTTTTTTTTTTTTTTTTTTTGGTTTTGTTTTCCGGAAGTCATTTTAGTACTTTTATTGATTGACTTTATAGTTTTGCTTGTCAAGAGGTACAATCCTTCAGCTTATTGATTTTAGTACATGTGAATCGTTCAGCTTTTGAGTTGTTGAATTCGAGCTGTGTATCATTTTCCTTTTTTATATATCTTCGAAAGAGAGTGTATTTTAGATAATCAATCAAAATTGGGGGGTGCTTTTGACATTAACTAAAATTTAAAATACAGTGTATATATACTGTATAGGGATTAAAATGACACCACCGAAAAATGAAATATTCGTGGGCCAGAATATTTTGGGCTGAAGATTCTGTATGGGCCTAAACCCATTTATTCTGCGACATGCTGAAATGGGATTAGTGTTAAGCCTATTGAGGGTATATGTATCGTTAGGGTTTATTTCCTCAAGAGGAGTGAAGCAAATCGGCGAAGTCTACTACGTGCGGCGGCAGCCATGGTTCTCAAGTATGCTCTGTTCTTCTGCTACCTTTGTGTAATCGTATTTTTTTTGTGTAATTATTTGAAATTTAGGTTTATGCCAATACATGAACAAATGATTTCAGTTTCCCCTCAAAAGATTTTTCAAATTTCGTTTCTTCATATTCCAGAATTCTTGATTCATAGAGAAATGAAAGGAAGAGGATAAATAGGGAGAGAGAATTAGTTGCAAATTTGAGTCGAGTTCTATGGTCTATTGCAACTGGGAGTGAGTTGTGACCTCTTAGCGGATGGGTTCGTTGTAGATTGCGTTTTGTGTAGGTATTAAATTATCATTTTCAGCTGAAGATGTGTTCTTTAAGAACTGCATCGAGATTGATCGTCTTGGATTTTGCGCTGTTAAATCTTCATGTTTTGAGTATTTATTTTCCGGGTCTTTTTAAGATTCTTATCATGCCTGTGCAAGTTGTGAATTTGGTTTGTGTAATGCGGTGAATTAAAATTGAAAACCTTAGAAGATATTAGATTTGAGGCTTTGAGCAGCTATCAGTATCACACATCTTAAGAGTGGATTTAGGAGTATTTTCTTGTGTGCTATTAAGGAATGCCTAGTCAGATTTAATCACGTTGGTTTATGCCTTGTACATGTACAGAGTTTCTTGTCAAATTAGTTTTATGTTTGATGACAAGTTGTTCTCCTTTGCCTGTTGGCATTTTACTTTTATGACGATCTCTTTGGAATTCAGGGTGTCTTTGCCTGTGTTGTCTGTTCTGAACCCGACTACTGTTTTGCAGGACAGAGTTGTGTCGTTTCAGTGGGGCAAAGATATACCCAGGGAAAGGAATCAGATTTGTTCGTGCAGATTCACAGGTAGTTCCAGTTGCTGTTTTGTTATTTTGCCCTCCCCAGTCAATGAAATCTGTGTTTCCTCCGATTATTGACGGAATTTATTGAATTATTATACTTTAGGTCTTTCTCTTTGCCAATTCAAAATGCAAGCGGTACTTCCACAACCGTCTGAAGCCGTCAAAGCTTACCTGGACAGCAATGTACAGGAAACAGCATAAGAAGGTAAGGATTTCCTCTTTGTGATATTGACGAGAACTGCCGATGTCTTGCATGTTTTCCTTACTTTTGCATGGTTAGAAAGTTCAGTTGGTAGTAGGAAGTGCCAATGTTTCCTTGAATGTAGGACAGTCTCCACTAAATTCCCAGCTGTTAGCTATTTCAGCATTGCCTTGTACGTACCAATACAATTTGTTCCGTTGCAATAATTTGTTTTTCTTTTTGCGAAATTTCAGGATATTGCGCAAGAAGCTGTGAAGAAGAGGAGACGCACCACAAAGAAGCCATACTCTAGGTCTATTGTGGGTGCCACTTTGGAGGTTATTCAGAAGAGAAGAACTGAGAAAGCAGAAGTTCGAGATGCTGCTAGGGAAGCTGCTCTCCGGTTAGCGTCCTCCTTCCTTCTTGTTCATTTTCCCATCAGCATCTCTGATTCCATGTGTTTTTGCTTTTTTTTTTTTCATTTTCTCGTCAGCATCTTTGATTCTATGTGTTTACTATACTGTTGTAAGTTTGTTGGAATGATCTCTGATTGTTACTTTTGCCTTTTTGTTCATTTTCCTGTTAGCATCTCTGATTCTGTGCGTTTATTGTCCTGTTGTAACTTAGTAAGTTTGTTAGAATACTCTGATTGTTACTTTTGGGAGTCCAAACCATCCAGGGTGATTTGGTACTCTCTATCTGTCCTTTGGATTTTGGTAATGTATCAATTGTGGGAATGAATTGAAAATGGTTACCATCAAATATAGAACTGCAGTTAGGAAATCTCTTTGCCTGGGGATTATGTTACTGTAAATACCAACCTGCTATGTTTGACACAAGCTGCTTTCTTCATAGTCCTAAGTTACCTCGTATCAGTCCCCATGCCTTTTTTCCCCCCTTCTGTGTTCATCATACAACATGCTCGCTCTCTGTTATGAACAACCAAAAGCTGTGTCTGATATTGTCCTTTAACACTTATTTAAACCTGTTTGGACAGATAATGTCCAGTTAACACTTCTCTGCTGAAAAAGCTCCGAATCTTTATTTTGCGGGTCTGTTTACTTCTGTAGTCAAATGAAATGATTTCCATTTTTTGGGCAGTGAAATTAAGGAAAGGATAAAGAAGACGAAAGATGAGAAGAAGGCAAAGAAGGCAGAGGTGATGGCCAAGTCTCAGAAGGGAGGGAGCAAAGGAAATGTGCCCAAGGGTGCTGCACCTAAAGGCCCTAAGCTTGGAGGTGGTGGTGGAAAACGTTAAGCTTCATCCTTTGTTGTTTATTTACAATATCAAAATGGTAGTTCTATGCTTTGTACCTTTAAGCATCCTTAGCCGGCTGGAGCATATCTTACACTTTAATTTTTGTTCCAAACCTGTGTTTTTAACTTCCAAGTATTTTAATGCCATGAATGCTAAATTTTGGTTGATTTGTGGTTGTATTCTTTCCTCGCATTATTCCATTATTTAGTGGGGTACAAGAGATGGTGATATGATCAGCCCGTCCTAGTTTATTTGCGAAAATTTCCAACACGTTCTGTAGATCTAGTCTTCGGATCCATCGATGCAAAAAAATTATTCTCGCGATGCAAAAAAATTTCCTGTATTCACAGCCTCTTAGGCAAAAAAGAAAGGCTAATATCAAAATCACTCTTGAGGTCTAGGTGACAATCCAAATCACCTTTACTTTTTTCATTTTTTTTTTGGAAATATTAATTTTTTCATATATATCAAAAACATTCTTTCATAGTTAATTATCAAAAGAGTTATTCCACAATTAAAAATTGATACATGTACATGAAAAGAGTAAAAAAAAGCGTCTGAAAAAATATTTGTACCCAGCAGAAATCTTCCTTGAATTATTTTAAAATTCTGATATAACCAATTATTTTTAAAACCTCCGATAAAATCAAACATTTATTTTTAAATTCAAACATACAGCTTTTTGGGCCCGTAAAAAGTGAGTAAACTCTAATAAAATCAGATTATTTTTAAAGCTCGAATAAAATAATATATTTATTTTTAAATTCAAAAATTCATCTTCCAAAGTCCGTAAAAAACGAATTTTACATTTAAAAATGAATATTTAATTTTATTAGAGTTTTGAAAAAATAACTGAGGGTAATCTTTTCTTCAAAAAAAACTGATGGTAATCTATGGTAAAAATAGATTTTGGGCCCAAGTCTTATAAAATCATTTGGGCCAAGTTTCAGAGAAGGAAATTTTTGGGCTCAAACTTAATAGAAAAAAAATCGAAAATAAGTGTTTTTTTTTAAAGGGACAGCAAAAATAGTTAATAAGCCCAAAAGTGAAATTCATTTAAGGAAAAAATAAAAAACGAGAAGGCATTCACTTTCATTTTCACGTTTTTATCTTGGAGAGAAGAAAAAGATCAAGATATTCAGGGGAGAATAGGGTTCTAAGAACGAATCTGTAACTTTGAAATTGGCCGTGAGGACGGCTTTGAAACGACTCGAGGCGGGGTTTTAGGGTTTGAATCTTTTGAGTCTCAGCGATTTCGAACTAGGGTTTATCCTGAATACATTTTCTGGAAAGCACATTTTCAAATCTGATAGGATTTGGCCGCGGAATCATCAAATTCCGAAGAACACCCAATCAGAATTTCCACGAAGCTGGACGACTGGTTCCGATAGCAACATTGACGGAAGTAGCAGCCGTGAAAAGGTTAGTGTGGCCCACACTGTAAAGGGAAGCTACCTCAGAGAATTTGGGGTCAGTGCAGAGAGCATAACCAACAAAGGCTGAGCAAGAGTCAGGATTAACAATGACAATCATATGGCGGGTAAGATCTCCAAATTCGTTGGGAACTTTTAAGACTTTTCCAATCATTCCATCCCAGAAAATGTGAGGTCATTTTATTGATGCCCAGAAAATTGCAAGTTCAGGCGCATTGGCATCAATGGATACGGGACATTCTTATACTGTGGCCAAGAAGATTGACGGGCTTAGTTTTGGTCTGGACTTGGTAATTCAACTTAGATACAGGTTGGTTACATTTTTCCCTCTTTTACTTTTCTAGTACCATGGGGACAATACAAATACATATTTTTGGGCATCATACTTTTGAGTTACTTTAACTGCCTTTGTCTAGTTAGAAGATGTTTCTTTATGACTTTAGGAAGACTAAAACACAGAACACTTCTCCTGGGTTTTAGTCTAAAAACCATTGCCTTTGTTCATGGTGATCATGAATCAACAGGTGTTCCTTCTTTTCATGCTTCCGTCCGCATCAACAAGGTACAATAATCATCCTGGAAGATTAGAATCTTTATCTCACGAATTGTGATGTTCATGTTGTACTGCATTGTGCTCATCCTTTAAAACTATGATGTTTACGTTGAGTTGCATTTTATCTATGATGTTTATGTTGGGTTGCATTTTATCTATTAGTCAGATGGGGAAAAAGAAAAAGCATATAGTACACAAACATGTGCAATGTTTAACTGAATTTCTATAACTATAGTAAATTGACTGTGAAATTTCTTTCGTAATCAAGTGTTTTCGCCGGTGAAGACCTCCAGAGTGAAAAATTTAGGAAAACAATTAAGACACGTTACGCAGATCCAGAGAATTCTTTTTGATTTTGTTTCCTCAGGACCAGACGGTGAAGGCCTTGAGTTCAACCGGTAAAGAAGATAGGAGAATGTGCATAATGCAAAACTGCAATGTTCAACATGATCTTACTATTGTTGACTGAAATGCTTAGTTTTTTTTTTTTTTTTTGCAAATTGAAAATTTATTAAAGTATTTCTGTTGTTCACTGAACAAGGTACAATGTGCATCCTATAAAAATACAATGTTCATCTTCAAGTCATCGTTCTTCATTGTGAAAAAAATTATGTATATACATCCTGTTAAACCAGAATATTCATTCTATTAAACTACACTCTGGTGCAAGATACCCCGGTATTTAAGTTATGAAGCCAAACCGCCTCGGGGGCAAAAAAAGCTTCTGATGTACCTTTTGCTGGACCGGCACAATTTGAAGTCATTAAGAATTGGAGAGCAGGTATATAATAATGTTGTCAATGTTTGGGCGCTTCATCTAAATGAATTGGAGAAGAAATTGAACTCACCGATGAAGAAGTATTTTTTCACCTCCTCGGTGCTTGTAAGAATCTTTACTCATCATTTATTTGAAGTTTAAAATGCATAACATAGTTTAGAAATTAACACCATTAACATTTTGTTACGACTCTTTTTCAAAATTGGCAAAAAAAACGGATCAACCAACATAAGAAGCCATCGAACAAGGAGCTGAGAGAATAACAAAATGACCTTACATCCCAGGGTGTGTCGGCTAACAACCTTAGGTCCAAGAATCTGGTAAGTTTCTTAGTGGTCTTCTGCTTTTGGACTACAAGGTACAATATGCATCCTGTTAAAGTACAATAATCATCTTAAAGTCATAGTCCTTCTTTGTAAAAAATCATGTATGTTCATCTTGTTAAAACACAGTGTTCACTTCGAGAAAATGTTGTATTTACAGTTATTCTTTCTAGTCCGATGTGGAGTACATTTCTATGTGGTTTGTCTCAACATGGTCGACCAAAGTCTACATGTTCTTGACAACAAGCCGAAAGTGGCCAAAGGTGAAATACCATTTAAAAATAGGTACGGTGTAGTGGTCAAATTCATCAAATCTGCTTTCTTGATGTACCTTGACAAGCAAAGTACACAACTACCACATGATATTAGAAGATTCAAACGAAATACTCTTTTACTTCCATGGGCCGACGACAGCAACAATACGGACTGTGCAATGTATACCATGTGCCACATGGAAACATACAACGTCACACCATATGCTTACAAATGTGGCCTTCCATCTGCAAGCAAAACAGAAGTAAACTATATCATTTTAAACCTTTGCTCTTGTTTTCAGAAGTTAGTTGGTGTCAAATTATGTTTTTTTTTTGTTTTGTCTTTCTTTTCTTGAAGCTTTCAAAAAGAGGAAAAAAGAAGCTCTGAGTGATCGCCTCAACGCATTACGGATGAGATATCTAACTGAGATCCTGCAGTCAGCCACCAACAGCAAGTATCTGGAGTTTCAAGAAAACATCAATAAATTTTATCTAGAAAATTTATATGGAAAAAAATATAATGTAAATTCAACGAGACCGTGCTGTGATTTTGTAGTTGTCACTGCTAGTGGACTACAATTTTTGACTTATCAGCGTAGGACATTGTAGATATTTGACATCTTGGAAAATTGCAATGTTCAACATCCTTTAATTATTAAATCACTGAAATGTCTTGTGTGTTTGTTTTTGCAAATTGAAAATTCATTTAAGCTTGTTTGTTGTTCACTGAACTAGGTACAATATGCACTCTATTTAACTGCAAAATTCATCTTAAAGTCAGTCTTTGTGAAAAATCTTGTATGTTCATCCTCTTAAACTACAATGGTCATCCTGTTAAATACAATGTTGATCTTGAATCATAATGTTAGACTCTGGCCGACATGAAAATAATACGTAATTTGTTAAAGTACAATTTTTTTTTTTTGGTTTAAATTCTTTTAAACTAATTATCCCAGGAACTAGACCCTAACTGACATAAAAATGCTGAAACCCTCTCTAAACCCTAAATCCTCAACAACTATACTCTAACCGACAAGGAAATGCTTAAATCCCCATAAACCCTAAACACAATGAGCCCCTAGCCTAATTAGTTTTAAAAATTTATAAGTTAATCGTGCTACGACAAAAACTAGAACCTAACCGACATAAAAATGCTTAACCCCCCTAAATCCTAAACCCTAAACAACTAGGCCCTAACCGACACGGAAATGCTTAAACCCCATAAACCCTAAACTCAATAATATTTTTGTTTTGGTTTAAATTTTATTTAACCAATTAGGCTGGGGTCTTGTTTACCATAGCCTAATTGGTTAAAAATAAATTTATAAATTAATTGTACTACGGCACAAACTAGACTCTAACCGACATAAAAATGATTAAACCCCCCTCCCCCTAAACCTTAAACCCTAAACAACTAGACCCTAACCTACACGGAAAAGGCTTAACCCCCCCCAACTGTAAACAAGTAGATGCTACAACTCACTTGTTAGTACATATGGCGGCCATCACCAGTGAGATATCAAAGGTGAGAGATGACATCAACAAACCAAAGGTTGATGTGTGTGAAATCTGTACAGGATCTCACTCCAGCTCTGCTTGTCAAACCACTGTGGAAGAAGTTCAGTTCATGAGGCAAGGAGATAACAGAGGAGCCTTCAACAATTACAACAATTACAACAGAACAACAACTGGACTAATCAGCAGTCAAGCTACCAGTGATCAGCTCAACCACTTGGATTTCAGAATCAACCATTCAGAGTCAAGGAGGAAAACTGGATCAAGGTTGATAATGTTCTTGCTAGTCTTGATGCAACTGTGAAAGATATGCAAAATCAGGTTGCACAAATGGAAAAGAAGATACCAGACAGACGTGTTGGCACTTTTCCTAGTGACACACTGGCGAATCCCAAGAGAGGGGAAGCACACAACACATATCAGAACGCTGCGATGTACCATAAGGAAGTGTTGCAACTGAAGGAATCTAAGTAAGAAGCACCAATCAGTCCGGCATAAGACGTTAAACCAATGCGCTGCTTGGGAGGCAACCCAAGGTAAGTTATTTTGTTCTTCTTAATTTTGTTTCAATTATTTTTTGTTAATTAATCAATCTATTTAGTGGAAATCAGAATGGGTGGAGTATCCCTTATCATAAATTTTCAGGTGAAGATTGTGTGGATAGTTAACCTGAAATGCCTTGCCGACTATAATATAGTTAAAACGGCAACATTCGAGTCTAATTATCTACACAATGCAATGGACAATGATCTGTCGTCTCACTTGGGCGAGTGATAAATTCACTTTCGCGACTGAGATGATTGAACAAAGTAAAAGTGCAACCCTGCACCTTGACTTCTGATTTGGGAAAAGGAAGTAGAGACCAGAAACTCACTTTGGAAAGTGTAATCTTTCACTCTCTTAAGTGAGAATATTGACTCACAAGCCAGGGAAGTCAATTTCTTCAAAGATCTGGTCAAAGTCTGCAAAAGAAGAAAAGGGGAAATCACTTTTCAAAGGAAAACTTGATGTGATTGGCGGGCAGAGGAGGTCAGGAATAAAACTCTTCTCCATAAAACTTCCGCCCATGACCTCCATTGTCATAAAAGCCCTCAGTGTATCCATCCTTCTTCTCCATCTTCCAAAATCATAAACTTAACCACAGAGATCCGCCCGAAGCCATACCCTAAATATGGTAAAGGAAAGACAAAGGGCAAGAAGAGGCACTGTAATAGCACAAGGGGTGGTTATGACACCACCAAATCTACAAGAGCAGTCATCCAGAGAAGAACGAGATGCCCACAGGTACATCATCTAGAACATAGCCACATCTGGGCTGCTAGTGAACCAAGTAGCCGAAGATTTCTTTCGAAGAAATTGGGAAAGGCATGCAATTGTGGAGTGACGAATGGTAGGTCAGCCAGATCCAAATTCTTACATCACACTCCATCACTGGGAAGGATTATGCACGGTCACTATCCGGCCCAACCTCAGTGCATGAGAGAATTCTACAGCAATCTTAGAGGAGACCCGAAGCAGATTTCAACTATGAGGATGGGGCTTACCAAGCGATGGACTACCCTCCAGAAGATGAATTGCCGTACGTACTATGCTCAAGATCAAGGGTGAAGTGGTCAAAATGCAATGGCCTACTGAAGCACTTTTCAGGTTCTGATCTAAAACCGGAATACATGCAGTGGTATAACATGATATGCAACAACACAATGCCAATGAGGCATCGCAAAAAGGTGCCCTTTCAGATGGGTCTTATCCTCTACACTCTGGTCCTCAGTATCCCAATTGATGTTGCCGCAGTTATCAGGGAACAGATGCATATCTGTGTCCACAATCAAAAGGAGAAAGACTGGTTCTTTCCACTATTGGCCACGAGACTGATGCAAAGAGCCAATGTGCAGTTCCTGCACACCGATGTTAGGGGAGCTATACCTCCTCCATGGCAGTTGGGAGAACCTCCACATCCATTCCAGAACCTTTAATCACCAAGGAGAGTATTTTCTTTTCTTTTCTTTTCTTTTATTTTCTGTTTCTTTTAATTAGGATTGTTTTTTGTGTTTTCCTGTTTTAAGTCTATGCATCTAGAGTCCTTAGGATATATTGAGTCAACTTTGTGTGATGATTTTTCTATTTTACAATTGAATTGCGTGCTTAGTATATGTGTTTGTTCTTCCCCGGTATCTCTGTTGCAAGCATTGGGGACAATGCTTATTAAGTTTGGGGGAGGGATTTATATGATTTATGTTTTAAAGAATGACAGGATCAAATTTTGAAAAAACAACAACAATTTTTAAGTTTGTGTTCAACTGTGAACTAGTTGATGTATATACAGCGTCAAAAGTCTATGATGATTAAAAAATGTGCGGGAAATTTTTAAATTTCAAACACTTATTGATTCACTTGAAGTCAGTACTATAGTTCTTCACTTTCTCGGGCACAATATGTCACTTGCCAAAGTGAGAGGTTTGAACTTAATACTAAAATCTGAATGCCTAATTACATTGTTGTGATCTTGTACTGGACTCCACTTGTCTGAAACTTGGGGGGACTGTAATTCTTAGTGAAGACTAAGGCAATCCTTCGCATTATGGCAGACTCTATAAGACCCCATGGTGGTCTGAAATAGTCTAAATACCTTGGGAAAGGGAATGGTAGGTGGTTGAAATGAAAAGAAAAATACCTTGGGAGAGGGAAGTTAGGAAGTCTGTTCAATGAGGCGGTAATATCCCTGAGTGTTTAGGTTTGGCAAACCAGTAGAGAGAGTCATCAGGCATGGTGAGGAAAAATTAGAAAAATGAATAAAACTACCCTAAGTTGCTGAGTCACTGTGAGAAATCACTATAGATGAGTGAAAATATGCTCTGGGTGAAATGTCCTAAGTTGCTGAGCCACTGAAAATTGAGTGTAAATATGCTCTGGGTGAAATGTCCTAAGTTACTGAGCCACTATGAATAACTGAGTGGAAATATGCTCTGGGTAGGGACCTGAGTGAGAAAGATCCAGAAGAAAAGCCATATGA